CACACGTTGCATCTTCTTGGCCACTGGGGGAGCAGAGGGAAGAGCGTTGGAAAGGGGAACCAGCGACACCGACTGGAGAGTCTGCGGAATCTTGATGATGAGTCAGGGCTTTGACCCTTCTGATTTACTAGACGATGCGATGGGCTGGTCGGTAGACGATTGAGACGAAGACATAGTGGTCGGGGGGAAAGAAGAAATTGACTCAAAAACCCAGAGTGCCAGCTTTATAAGGGCTTCGGACTTAGAGTTTTCGATCGAAATTCGGCAGCTGGCACATCAAAAACTTAATCTGACGGCATGGCAGTCACAACACCGTGTCGCATCAAAAGCTACATGTCCTTTTGAGGGCTTAAGGCCCTTGGGGGGGGTAATGTTATGCCCTACGCTATTTTTTCTGCTCTTTCCAACCAGTACACTCACCACACGACTCGATAATAGTCTTACCAATCAATTCGGCTCTCCAAAGCTGACACGCATTTCGCGAGGCGAACTAACCAGTTGCTCATTCCAAACTTCTATTCACAAGACCACATGTCTCCCCGCAGAGTATAAAAGCCTTGTACCTACATCTCCCATGATAATGCTGTTATTACCTGAACTATCTTGATCTGTGTTGTTTCTGTTCTCTTGTTCACTAGTCTATAATATTATTCTGCTTAACACCGAGTCGAGCAAACCCCATTGACACCGAGTCACTGGCATATCCACTTCTCACTTGTCGAACTGATCGACAAGACTATTCGACTGCCGTAGCCTCTCGAATATTCTGTCTCGTAGGGTAAACGGACACCAAGTCACGAACCTTCTGAGTCAACCCTCATTAATACCGTCTTAACGAGTCCTTTCGATATACAATCTCTAGTCGCACCGAGCTACTAGAATTGTTATTCGACACTCGAGGATCATTCCTCTATATCAAATACTCAAACCGTACAGGACTCGATCACTTGTCGTACGTAGCAACTCCCCATCGTGTACTCTGTCTCGGCTGTGGTATAATAAATTACTTTCTACTCACTGAACCTGCTACAAGCTTCTAACAACAAAGGTAGTAAAGGTCCTAACAGGAGGGTGGAAAAAGAGTCAGAACTCACAGAAGCAAAAATATATATGGCAGTAAAAACTTCAAGGGCTGGAGAGTACATTCCATCTGTATATCCATACATGTTCAACAGAGTAAAGACAGTAAAAAGGGCTTGTATTGTGCAATATAGAGCCCCAGATTCAATCAATAGAAGTAGGATATTTTGGACCCTGGTTCTTCTGTAGAAAGTACCCTCTTTCATCATACAATGATGATGCCTGCAGGGCAATATAAATTTTAAGAAATTGGCATCCGTTTGATACAGTTTGAAGCCACTTGCCAAGCCTTCCATGCAATCAGACCAGTTGCAAACATGTTAACCACCAGGGAAATCACAAAACATAACCAGTCCAATATCAAAGTAGAGTTGGCTTCTATCACCTTCATGTCAATGTCATCCAAGATGTCATCAGCGATTTGAGCTCCTGTGTGGTATGATGCAAAGAGTCAGTGAATTTATCATCTTTAAAAATGGTTAGCTACACACCAATATTTACAATCATGAGAATTGCAAGTGCAACCTTGCAAAGCCTTTCTTGCTGGAACAAAACCCAGGCTCTCCAAACCACAATGAAATCACTCAAAAGTACCTAGTTAACTGATCAAGTCATTGTACAAGAGACAAAGAGAAAAAACTCACAGAAATTGACATGGGCCAATTTTCCATATAGTCAATGGGTAAGGCTTTTTGATTTGATCGTTGGGCTGCAGCTTCAAGTGCTCCCTGTACATTGGGTTTTACTTGTACAAAAGTAACCTGGTCTTGTATGAGTGGGAATGCCACATCACAGAAGGTAGTCCAGGTTAAGGAAATAAATGTGATGATCAAGCAGACAAGGAGAACAATTCTTGAATGGGTCAAAGATTTAGTTCTATCAATGTGCCACAATCAAACAGAATATGAGTTGAAAATCTTAGTAATAATCAGCAACCTTTCATACACTAGGATGTGACCAGCTATGAGCAGTCCTAAAGCAGATAGACCTACAAGAAGCAGTGTACCATCAACTAGGCTGCTGTGGAATAGAGGATTCTGTACAATACATACCAAAGCCAGTTACCCCCACTAGTATGGCAGATACAATGTTGTTATAGATGACAGTGGCATAAAAGGTAAGGATCTGTTGCTCTCCTGGAGTCATGGCCAGAGAAAGCACACTTTTTATGGTCACTCCTGGCAGTTCATTTATACCACAAATTCCAAAGTCGCATCAAGCATCATGCCGCGGCAGTTGCTTTTAGATGTGATCACCACCACTGCACCTCATGTCACAAGAGCTGATACCTTGGGCATGAGGCATAGCATTTCTGCACAGATGGTCCTGGTTATTGATACAACTGTTTCTTAGATTTCTTACAAAGATCCAATGGCAAGATGGCCATGGCTGTATCAAAGGTGATGTATTGCATCAAGAAAATGACCTGAAGCCCAGGCAAATATTGGAAGCCTGAGGGAGCTTGAGGACTCCCAGGAAATAGGCCAAATCCTAGGCACCTTCAGGTACTTTAGGTAGCTTGGGCTACCTAGGCTTCCTAGGTTTGGGGCCAAATCCTAGGCTCTCTGAGAGATATCTGAGATATCCCTAGGAGTCCCTGAGGGCTTCCTGAGGGCACCCTGGGGATCTCTGGGGATCTCTGGGACACAGGTATTTTAAATAATACATATAACACAAAATTGTATTTCAAATATATAGCTATGTAATAGTATTGTATAAATCTACAATAAAAACATTTATTTGGCTGCAGATTCATACAGGATTGAGCTTTTAAAATAAATCACATGATGTGCTATAAATGAATGTTCAAATCCTGAACTAAGTGCAAGTTCATCTCTAAAAGCACAGAGTAAACATTGAATTGCAGAACATTTCAAGGACAACAGTGCGGCAATCACTTAACATCTCGATAACCTGTACTTACTGAGATTAACTAAGTTAATGGATCAGGATGAGATCAAGATGAGAAGTAGATTTGATTTGCACTTGGCTTAGTTAAAACAAGGGGGGTAGCATATATAGTAATGTAAGAAAGCATCCATGGAACTCAAAACCAAAGTAGGTAACCAGGAGAAATAGAGACAGTGACATTCAAATCAGGGCAATCAGGACCATGATCCACAGAATAGATTACTTATAGGCAAAAATGAGTGTAATCATCATTGAGACTCACGTTTTAACTGAGATGGGACATTTGTTGTGACTCATCCTAGAAATCTGGAATAAGGACATTGTAACATTGATGACCCATCATTTGATTAAGCAACAGAACATGAGTGAAAACAAAGGACAAGATATTGAATTGGCGGGTGCTTACCCTCAGTTACCGCTTCTCAACATACTCTCGTTCCTTATCTTTGTCTGAATTGGGAAATCAATTTCAGATGCAAGCCAAATATCTCAGTTGAAATGTCTACAACAGCAGTAGCACCTCAATGACCGCCCATGATGCCGGAAGCGGCCAGAGTCGAGCTCTCACCTGACGCCACTGGAAAGAAGCAGTTGCCAGTCCTAATCCTCGTTCCTCATTTACTCTGATTGTCGAACTAAAATTTACATACATAGCTGCATGAGCTGTGCAATTCACCACAATCAGCTCATAATACTGAAACAAAAATGAACAACTTACAAAAATCAGCTGTAGCTGCATACCAGAAACGAGGGGAAGGTTACTCGAAAACCCCTGCAGTTCTTCAAGTATGGCAGGAAGTGAATCAGATTCTTGTCAGGTCAGGCAAGCTCAATTTTAACTGCGTCCCGAAGTTCAGAATGCAGGAGTCATCGGCAGCAATGTTGTGGGCGTTGCCAGTAGATCTACGAAGTAACAGGATAACCGGATTAGACAGAAGAAACCGTTTTTTGTGTAAATGCCCACCATCCGCGGTATGATGTCGCTGGTTTCGCGGCTCCAGAAGATCATAAACCTGTTTCCCACGCGAGCAACAAAAAAGGGACCATTGCGAAGGGCATTCGTACCTCAGCTGCTAACATCTTTGACTGCCCCTGAAAAGATGAACATTGAGGTTGATGAACGGTAGAACGGTGAACATTGAACAGCCAATGTTTGAATATCCCGGCGACCATGCCTACAGAATCCATCCTGCAGGCAGTCAGCAAGACGGCGGCAAGACCCCATGGGTTGGCGCTTATCTACTCATACGCGTCGCAATTTCACGATTAAATGGTCGTTTGTAGCTCTTCCTACCTTTTTTTATTTATTTAAACTCTTCATTGCCGCAGATAAGTAAGTCTAAGTACTAAGGAGCGGGGAGCCGCAACAATAGTTGTGCTCCGTTCGCTCAGTGGGTGTTTTCCTTCGTTTACGAGTGCATGGAATGGAATGGAATGCTGAGTTTCTGCTCTGACGATTCTGTGCCTGATCCAAGGCAGGCAATTTTGAATTGATCTAATTTTCGCAATTTACACAATTTTAGTTAGTTTTCATTACATTGATGATCAATGATCCTGGATCCGCAAGGTAATTTGTTCCAGTCACTGAAAAGGGCACGAGTCCTGCCACGCGTTAGCGTTGGCCCACTATGCGTCAAGTGGGTGTCTATGGGGGATGTTGTAGCTACGGGTACTGGTTAGTGTATTTATGAGGTAGGAAGTTATGTAGTGACGTGCTCGGTCGGGGGACCCGAATAAGTAATAAATAAGGGGGGAGGGTGTGGCCTCCTGACACTTCTCCCTCTAAGGAGGGAAGACACTAGGGAAAAACCAAGCCCCCATCGCAGGCGTAACCGCTCTGTGGCTTGAGCTCTTGCGGGGCTTGGGCGACGGGTCCGCTCCTCCACACCAGACGAGTTAAATCCCACGCTACCGACGGCGAAGTCGACGCACCGTAGCTTTTCCTGTCATTGTACCACACTTATGAGAAAAACGGAGAAAACTAGTAGCTTATAACACGAAAGTTGAAGTCCCTGGTAGTATATCGGTTAGTACACGCGCCTGTCATGCAGTGATTTGAGAGTTGAACAGTAATTGGTCGCGCGAAAGCTGGGTTCGACTCCCAGCCAGGGAGTTATGAATTTTTTGGTTCAGCGCTTGGCTCAATGTGGGCGCTAAACGAGCCACATTCCCTTCTTTGGCGTACATGACGAGCGCAAAGGCTCAGGCAGCCAAAGACAAGGTAAGAGCAGCGGCTACATCAGAACGCAATATTTATACCTTGTAGGGCAATACCTCTTTCAAAAATGGTGACTATCCGTCTGCAATCGGGTACTACACCCAAGCTATCCTAGAAGATTCCTCAGATTGGACTTTTCCTCTGAATAGAGCTGCCGCGTATCTCAAGCTAGGCAAGTACGTTCTGTTCTTGTAAATTGTCTCTAGATATCAAGCTAGCCAAGCTGACGATGGCCTGTGAACAGAAATGAAGACGCTGAGAGGGATTGTACAAGCGTCTTGAATCTCAACAAGTCTAATGTTAAAGCGTTGTTTCGACGGGCTCAGGCTAGAAGGGCACTAGGAAAGCTGAGTGATGCGCAAAAAGGTGTGTGTACACCGCTGCTCTCAAACGTTTGCAAAGTGTATTGACCGAATTTTTTTTTCCTAGACCTCGAACTGGCTGCGTCTCTAGATTCGTCCAACGAGTCGGTGAAGAACGAACTGAGTTCAATAAAAGATCAGATATGGAAATTTTCCTCGTCGGATGTGGTCCATCCGCTGAGGAGACGTGTACCAATCAAGATCATCGAGCCACCGACGAAGACTAACCCAGCACCGTCACCGTCGCCAACACGATCTTCGACCTCTACTCGTGAAGCTACGCTAAAAGAAAAACCCCCTTTGACATCTCAAGCAGTTTCCAAAACGAATTTGGCGGCTATCTCCACCTCGCCGCCTACTGCATCCACTGCTGTAACACCGTACCCGCCCTCAACCACACCGCCGCCGTCCTCTTCCTCACCCGCATCTCTATCCTCTTCATCCCCACCAGTACCAGAATCACCCCCAGTAGCCTCAGCTGCAGCATCAAAACCAACCGCGGAAGCACCCAAGGCGGCTGTGGAACCAGAACCCTCGTCATCCTCGACATCCCCCACGACATCCTTCCAACAAGCCAAACGCGCGCGCGACGAAAACGTGTCCAAGGTCAGCCGCGTAGGCGGAGGAATATTTCGTGCGTCGGGGAAGAATACGATTTTCAACACGAGGACATCGGGTGTAGAGGAAGTCGTCGAAGATGGAAACGAGGGAGAGAGTTCATCTCTTGCTGCTCGGGACGATAATGCTGATCATCGTTGGGGATCCAGCGTGAGTTTGGGCACGAAGACTTCGACGCTATTCGAGTTTACGAGGGGTTGGGATCGGTTGGCGCAGCAGGGGGAAGAAGGGTTGGCGGAAGAGAGGTTTAGGTATATCATGGTGGGTGCTTGTCCGTGACGACTTTGGACCCCCTTCTGACCTTCGATGTCCCTCCATAGGCAATCGATCCTTCTTCTTACCCTAATATGTTCCAAAACTCTCTCGAACCTCCGGTACTCATGCGGATATTCAAGACATTCCGTGGGGCATTGGATGAAAATGGTCCGAATTCATCTCCGAATTCCTCCGCCGCCGGTCCCACTTCTGTCTCCCCTCCTGCAAACCAGAAGAGCGCGCACGCCAACGTCGCCTCTCTTATATCAACCGTCCTCCACGCGCTGCTCCAAGTCCGCCGAATTCGCACGGTCGCGATGTTTTTGAGGAGCGGGGAGAGGGAGATGATGAGGGATGTTGTTGTGGAGGTTTTCAGAGCTTCGGAGCGAGGATTGGATGGGGATGGGGAGAAGGATAGGGATACGTGGTTGAGTATGCTCAAGTGAATGAGCATGAGGTTTGAACGGTGGAGGAACTTTATAGTGGGATGTGGAGGAACTAGGGATAGGAGGGATCGTCGTTTGGATGTTTTGTTGTTTAGCGGTTCGAGACCCAGGGATCCAGAAGAGTTTGATAGGTAAAAGTAGGTGTATTACCTTTACGCTTGTGCTGAATTTATTCCACACCTGTTCAATGACGTACAACTACGAATGTAAAGTTGTACCTTTCTACATACAGCTTTTGTGTACGCTGTGTGTGTCCTCGTTCACGTTTGCGACTGTACTGAGCGTGACGCGGCTAAGAGAACGATTCAGAAAGAGCTCAGTCTCGGTCTTTGGCTTCTGGTTGGACAACCGGTGGCGTGCGTGGACGGACCGTCTGGAGTTACTACGTGGTACTACGCTATGACTCAGGGTATGCGGTACAGAGATCTAAGGTAAGCCCAGGTAAGTCAAAAATCCAACAATAACCCAAGTGATCATTGGCATATTGCAAAGTCTCCGGAATTTACTGATCATGTTTGGAAGTGGTGAAGCAAAAGGAAAAACACCACATTTATATATTAGCATTTTGCCATTTTGGGAGAATAAATGGGGATGCAAACCATATATTCAAAGGGGGATTCATGTTCGGAAGAAGTTGTTAACAGCGCAGACCTATGCAACAGCATCAATCAAGACACCCTCTGTAGTTCCAACTGTTGCATTCGCTCCTGATGGAACTAGGATTGCTTCAGGTTTTGAAGATTGAACAGTCCAAATCTGGGATGCCAATACAGGTGCACCCATAGGCAATCCTCTACAGGGCCACCAAAGTGTAGTAAGTTCAGTGGCATTCTTTCTTGATGGATCTAGACTTGCATCAGGCTCCTGGGATAAAGTGGTGAAAATTTGGAATGCCATTACAGGTGAACAGGTGTGCAGCTCTGCGCCAGGCCATATGGACTGGGTGACTTCTGTGGCATTTTCTCTCAATAAAACTAAAGTTGTGTCGGGCTCCCGAGATAAAGCTGTGAGAGTCTGGGATGCTAATACTGGAGAACAGTTAGCTAATTGTTTACTTGGTCATAGCAATTGGGTAACTTCTGTGGCATTTGCTTCTGATGGAACCAGAATTGTATCAGGGTCTCATGATGAAACAGTGAGAATATGGGATGTCACTACAGGGTCTCAATTGGGGAACCCCCTATATGGACACAGAGATTTTGTGACATCTGTGGCTTTTTCTCCTGATGGAACTAAGATTGTGTCAGGTTCTCATGATAGAACAGTAAGACTATGGGATACCACTACAGGTTACCAAATAGGTGATTCACTGCATGGTCATAAAGATTGGGTAACTTCAGTTGCATTTTCTACAGATGGAACTAAAGTTGTGTCAGGCTCCTGGGATAAAACAATCAGAATTTGGGATGCCAGTACAGGTGTACATTGGGGTGCCTCACTTCAGGGACACAAAAATGCAATAACATCAGTAGCATTTTCTCGTGATGGAACCAGAATTGTATCAGGCTCTAAGGATAAAACAGTAAGAGTCTGGGATGCCACTACAAATGCTCAATTAGGTGACCCTCCTCAAGGACATGACAATTGGGTAAATTCAGTTGCATTTTCCCCTGATGGTACCAGGATTGTATCAGGTTCTCATGATAGAACACTGAGAATTTGGAATGCCAATACAGGTATCCAGTTAGGTGCTCCACTACAGGGTCATGGAAACAAGGTGACTTCAGTAGCATTTTCTCCTGATGGAACAAGAATTGTGTCAGGATCTGAAGATAGTACAATAAGAATCTGGGATGCTAATACACATGTACGGTTGGGTCAAACTAAAAAGGGTGATATAGATTGGGTCACTTCAGTTGCATATTCTCCTGATGGGTCTAAGATTGCATCAGCCTATTTCATTCTTGATGTGGGGGTGTGGGATGCCACTATAGATACACAGGCAAGCGGAGCTGCTAATGTAGAACAGGATGATCACAATATAGATCATTCAGGGATATTCTCAATTGGATCATCCAGCTCCCATAATAGCACTTCAAAAAAAGATGTCTATGCTGATATACTCAAAATCTTTTCACAGCGACATCCAAGCTTAACAACTTCAGTTGCGTTTTCTCCCAATGGAACCAAAATTGTGTCAGGCGCTGATAATAACACAATAAGAATATGGGATTCTGCTACAGGCTCCCACTTGGGTAGAACTCTATATGGCCATGAAGATGCAGTGACTTCAGTTGCTTTTTCTCCTGATGGAACAAGGGTAGTGTCAGGATCTCTTGATAGGACAGTGAGGATATGGGATGCCACTACTGGTTCCCAGCTGGGAAATCCTTTCCAGGGTCATAGGGATGCAGTAAATTCAGTAGCATTTTCTCGTGATGGACTCAGAATTGTATCAGGTTCTAAGGATAAAATAGTGAGGGTCTGGAGTGCTACTACACATGCACAGCTGGGTCATTCACTCCATGGCCATGACGAGCAGGTGACCTCGGTAGCATTTTCTCCTGATGGAACAAGAATTGTGTCAGGCTCTTGGGATTCAACTGTGGGAATCTGGAATGCTAATAGGGGTGTACAGTTTCATGGTTCTGCAAAGAATCCTGGATATCCAGTGAATTCAGTTACACTTGCACCTGAAAGAACCGGAATTATTGTCTCATTAACAGAAAATTCAGTTCAGCCTGCAACATCCCGAGCCCTCCCTAGCCCAAATCTTACTTTCCATAGCTCTGTTCCCCTGTCCGGTATGTATATATTTTTTCCAATCCCTGTAATATCTATCTAAGTTATTAATTCCTAATCTAGACCTTGCAAACTGGACCATCACTCCTGATGGATGGATCAAGTTTCCAAACAAAACTCATTCTATTGTTTGGATCCCTCCTGTCTACCGAAGGCATTTGTGGACCCCCCAGACAATGTGTATCATTTCCACCCAAGGATATAATAAACTATCATTGGAAAATTGTGTATTTGGTGAACAATGGACATTCAACACTAGAAAAATCATTCTGCAAGGTATCTATAGTACCATTGAACTTGTAAGACTTACAGGATATACCATGCTGCTTTCTTTATATGCTGTGTTAAATATTCAAAATAGTCATTGAAATTATGAGGGTATGAAATGTAATGTAATGCCAAGGTCTGTTGTGATCCGATGCTTTGACTGGAACTAGCAACTCCAGTATGAGGCCAAGTAATACTTTTTTAT